TATTTCTTGATTCATGATATGTTTTTATTAAGTTGATCTCTCGAATTTTATAGCTGCAAGATGATTCGTTTCTTCTTTTTTGTCCGGAAACTCATTTTCAATATATGAAATAAGTGATGCCTTTCTTTTTTTGCCTCGTATAATATGAAAAATAAAGATATTGTTGTATAAAATAGCGAAATTTCATCAGACATAATTATAACTCTGACTCCGATTTACTCCGAGAAGTTTTTCAAAAAAATTGACTCCGACTCCGACTGCGACTGCGTCGAAGTCGGAGTTGAAATCGGGTTTCGGAATTCCCCGCAGGTCTCTAGTCTGCAAAGGTCAAAAGTTTTCTTCTATCGAAACAATTCATGATTTTAGTCGGCAATAAACATGCTTGCACAGACATCATTTTGATTTTAATTCTGATTAAGTGAGTGGTTTATGTGACCGATAGAGATTGAATTCGAATTACGAAAATTTAAAATGAAAAAAACGTCTATCTAGATGCCAATGTTTTTTTGACACGAAATATCGACCAACAACAAAAATGTATAATGATTAAAATGAAATCGATCGGAAAATAATGCACATCATGTTCTGCCTAGCTTGGAAAAAGTATCTGCAGGACAGGTTTGAGAACGAAAAAAGAAAAAAAAACGCACCTGTGCCGAACAAAATCTTTTTTTCCTACTGACAGCAAAAATACGAACGAGAGCTGTGGAGTATTTAAGGCAACGAAATATTCATAACGATTGAAAAATTTCCGAATTGTTTTCGAAAATCGACAAGATGCCCCGCTCCAAATATATTTCTGAACCTTCGTGGCACTTGAACATATACTTATCAAATGAATTAAACAGTCAGGAATCAGAGAGTTCTCAATCTGCTGAAGCGCTAATGCATTTATTTAACACGGATCTGTTGCAATCTTCTCATAGAATGAACGTCGAACTATTTGATCCATTGAATAATGATACAGAAGCTTTGCTACTAGCTGATGAAGAGTTTTCATCGGATGCGGAAAATTTCAATTCGATCGATTTCAGTGATTGTTTTTTGGAAAAATCCAAAGAAATACCTCATCGACCAACTGAAAAAAGCAATTCAACGCCGAATAATGATAAACCGCCGTCTTCATCAACAGAAAATATTCATCGAAGTCAGAAGAAAAATGCTTCATCACGTAAATCATTTGCATCTTCAAATTATGGTGATGTTAAAAAGTTTCTGGTATACGATGTAGTAACTGGACGACTACGAAGACCCTTATTACATGAATTTATTCGACTGTTAGTAGAGCATGATGAATATTCCGATGTTGCTGAATATCTTGATCGAGAAAGAGGTATTTTCAAATTGCATAAACCAGAAGAAGTTGCTGAACTATGGAAAAATGTGAAAGGACGGAATAGCGATAATAGTAAGTTGACTTTCCAGAATAGAATTTCGTTTTATTGAAGACTTTCTTTTTTATAATTGCAGACATGACGTACGATAAACTAGCGAGAGCTCTGCGTTACTATTATGGAAATGGTATTATGCATCCGAGTCCAGGACGCTTTACCTTTCGATTTGGATTAAAATCTGGTTTTGGCACTTCATGGGGAACAATTTGTTAAAGCAAAACATAAATATCTATAATATTTTATTTATTGTTTACTTCGGATGTAATATTCTATTTACATTGCCCTGTTTATTGTGGCGAGTCGGATACCTGCAATTTACACTTGACTGACTTGTTGTTTAAATTTTGTTGTCTGCTCGTTTCGTAGATGTAATATTAAATTTAGTATCAAACTAATTATATTTATACGTATACACATGACCTATTGTATCGTGAAAAAAAGAATATCTGCGTTTTACTATATTAAATAGTAACAAACACAAGTTTTTCTGATTCTATCAACATTTGAAAGTTTAGTTAGATGATTCGTCCTATTGACTTCATAGTTGATATTGATAGATTGATGGGTACATCGGCGAGGCATATAATAAAACGATCGCAGGCTTCATTTATTTTTTTGTTATCACCTTTCTTTGATTACTATAATAACGTACTAAAAAATATATTATGTTTGTCAAGGTTAAGCTCTTGTTTTAACACAACGTGAATATAATTTTGCGTCTAGCTATGAATAAGGCAATAGACGGCTAGATTTCGATTATTGATATGTGTTGTTTACGTTGGGACTCAGCAAAATGTTTTTTTATTCACTATCATCTGCTGATTATTTTTCGTCGATGATTTGGTGTTTTTCGTATAATCGACAATCGTTCGATAAATGTTTATTTCGGAATGAAACTGTTAGTATGATTGAAATACGTTTGATGCTGTTAGGAAAGAAATAATTTTCTCGCCCGAATAAATGTCAAATTATATTCTATATGTAAATATCAATTAGATTTAGATTTAAAAGTAAAATTTTGTTCCAAATAAATAGTAATTCCCCGATTTTCATAGTATCAAATGAAAACATTTATTCTGATTCGTTGGTTCGTGAATTTGAAAACCGACATCGAATCTGCCAATGAAGGTAACCATGAAGAAAATACATATGTATGAATATTAAGATGACGAGAAAAGATTAATTTTTCCGCGAAAATACAGCATGTATAAGAGTACAAAAACTTCGTCATATACAATAGGTTACTTACGATCTCCAATCGCAGAACGAAAAAACATAAATTTTGCTTTTCACAGAAAGAGCTAATGTATTTTTCTTTTTAGAATCTAGACGATACCATGAATCAATCATATATTAACCTATTTTATTGTCGTTTAGAAATTTATTTAAGTCAACAAGATATAGTATGAAAATACATACGGTCGCAATTGATCGAAAATGTAAAAGCGAGACAAATTTGACGATTACCGTGACTAGGCATACTGTGATAAACGATTGATTGGCACGTTAATATAGGAATGTTTTAACTTGAAAAGCAAAATGATTGCTACCCCCATACGAAAACCTTTCCTTTTGCTACCAAGAATAGATCCAAAATTTATTTCTCTCAAAATATTATCTAGTTTAATGAATAAACAGAAAAAGTACCTAGTCGATATAAAAACGAAAACAAGTCTAATAAGAACGTTGATCAACGTAGATATTCCAAAGTAAACATGTAAAATTGTCAATAGATACCATGACAAAATCGCTATCATACTGTTGTTGTTGTTGTTGTTCCTGTTGTCAAAGATAATTAATAGCGGTAAAATAAAACTTGTATTTCTAATTTTCTTCGAAAAAGAATAAAATACAAGAATCATTCTTATCGGTGAGTTGGATGTGCAAGTAAGTTTTGAAGCAACAACTTGAGTGTCTTCGTTTTGTCATTTTATGACACAGGAGAACTTTTATCGACGATTATGTAAAGGCTAAAGAACTTTATTTGATTCTTTCACTAAGAGTTTTGTTTTTATTTTGGACCAACAAAAATTCATCGGAGAAAATCTGGTTAACATGACTCGTGTTATCCTTCGTACAAGACATTATGAAATGTCGAATTATGAGTTATGCCACAACTATTAACTAGCCAAAGAAAAACAAGATAGTTATATTCGAAATTGAAATTTTTCAGCAATATATTGTGACGCTCATTACTCAATACATTTTACTTGCTGCTATCTTTCCAACGCATATTTGTCTATGATTTTATCAATCATTTGAAAATCCATCCGTTGAAGCGCGAAACGATAAACAAACATCGACAAGGACAATTAATTGGAGTGAAAGTGCTTTTCTATGCACTTTCGTTGAGTTCGGAAATATTAATCCTACAATGCAAATATGATAGTAACGTTCATAGTCTTTTAGTGACTCACATTCTCAAAGTTTTCTATTATGCCTTTTTGTGATATGAAATAGTTACTTAGAGGGACACAGTGTTTTTTCCCAGTATTACTATCGTATTTTAGTTTAGTCTAATTATCATTTGATAACAGTTGACGATTCGATACAAAATTTTTGTAATGAAGAATTGAAAATGATCTGAGGTAATTGTATGCTAGACAGGTAGAAGAAAATCGAATAGACAAAAATCAATTCAATTAGATGATATCAAATGATAAATTCCCACCTCGTACAAAAGGATGCGTAAAAATAACCTTACCTTATCGTATGAAAAGTAAACATATAATACTTTTTCGTGCTAAGAGATAAAATAGAACATTACTTTTCGACGGTGAGAAGTATGTCTAGTCCCATGAAATTTAGTATTCGTTCTATGTTGAAAAATAAGGGATTTTCAGTGAAAAAGATATCAATTCTTACGCTCTTTCCCTTGACATTTTTCATTAGTAGAAAAGGTCATTTTAATTATTCAACTGATTTCATGACAATATCAAACGGGCACAAGCAGTGTATATAAACAAATTTTAAAGATATGAAATATTGTTTTAATTTCTCAGATGATGAGATTTTGTGTTCAGACGTGAGCTGTGTTTTTATTTCGATTTGAATGATTGCATGCAATCTGATGCACATGTGCATACGAAATCGATTGATTCAAATTTTGTTATGAATAATGTAATTTTTAACTGATGTTCCTTTTGTGTGATTGATCCATGGCATTCCTGGCAAAAAAAATCCATTATTTGATTGTTTTGAGTACTTTGGTTTTTACAGAAAAGCACGCAAACATAGAACGGCTACAGCTGTGCGTATGCAAACAGAAGACAGAATAAGTATAATCTGGCAGAAAGCGCTTTTGTTGTCAACAAGAAAAAAAATTTTCTTTTTTAAATAAACGATGCCGTACCACTTAACGTGTTATGCTAGATCGTTGGCAGGCATAATGCGATTCATTCTTTGCTGATTGAATGAGAAAAAAATTTCAAGTGCAACGCCGTGTTGTATGCACTTCACTTGTTTATTTTTGCAAACGAAATCACACAAACGCTGCCGTATATAAAAGCAAATAATATTTTTTGAAACTTAAATAGACGATTGACAATATTTTTGTGTGCCGTTGCTTCACTGAAAATAAAATATTTTACAGTTAAAAACGAGATCATGACTCTTTCGGCTACTCAATTGGGTCTCTGTCTTCAGTCCTATTGGTACATGTGGTAAGTATAACTAATTGAAAGCGAATACATTCAATCAATCAGTGAATCACTTTCAGGTTAACTAGTGGCTTATCGGGATTGGTTTTTATCGGTATTGATATTGGTAAGATAGATATTGTTAATTTCTTAGATACTGAGAAGAAGTTTTAAATACCAAAGGCATTGCTGCATTTTTCATGGCAAAATTTAAAAAGAAAAATGGACCAGCGCGTGAACGTCCACCAAGCACTGCTCAAAATCGACCGATGACTCCTATTGAAATTGATAACATCGATTATTCGTATAGACAAAATACAAGTAGAGGCTCTGCTACACGAAGCACTTCTGGTTTAATATCAAGTATGATTTTATTGTACATGAAATCCAATAATATGTTTTCTATAGATAACTCCAGTTCGACGGATGATGTTGAAGATTTTGCTCAAACAACCTGTCAATTAGTGAATGAAATACGCAAGCAGTATGATGCTCCATCCGTGGAAGTAGACGATCAGCTAACTGTTATTGCTCAAGATTGGGCTAATCAAATGGCTCTTACTGGTAAATTAGAACATAGACCTCTTGAATATCGGAATTTTGGACGGCAATCACTTGGTGAAAATTTCATCGCTGTCTTTAAGAAAGAATTAACAGGTTAACTATTCTGCTTTCATTAAACGCATAAATGAAGATTTTATTAATCTGTTTTTAGCTAATAGAATGCTACGAAAATGGTTGAAAGAAGGAAGTGTATACAGATTTGGTCATGATGGAGGTAGAGAAACCAACAATTTTACACAATTAGTTTGGCATGGATCACGAGAAATTGGTGTTGGTCGAGCTCAATCACCTGATGGGAATTGGTGGTATGGCGTCGTTGTATTTGACCCGCCTGGTAACATTCCAAATCAATATGCACAGCATGTAACACTACCACGCACATAAAATTTGATTGAAAATCAAAGACAGACTTTTTTCTCTTCTCTTTGAACAACAAAACAAATCGAATCAATTATTATTTTTTGCTCCTCCTAAAACTATAATTCATTCGAGTCATTCATTAAGAAATATCGCTTCTTTACACTTGAAAAAAAAATAGAAGACTGTATATATTTTAATTTCTAAAGTGTAATTTTGAATAAAAATTATGATTCTCTAATTATTCGTCTTAGAAAAATCAACAGTGAACCGCTTTTTCATGAAGAAGAACTTTGTTTTTAATGCTTTGAACGATTTCTGAAAAAAAGAATTTCGAAAACTGCGTTTACATTTAGTATCAAGTATTCCTCTCTGTCATTTCAGAGTCTGTCGCAAAGAGAAAGATTCAAGAATAATTTCATCTCGTACGCTCGGCGTCTAAATTTAAGATCATTTATCATTGGATTCTTAACATTTACGTCTGAATAACATAATATATAAAATTCATTTATGCACTTTTTGGTTTAAATGACGTACTGAAAATAAAAAATTCAATGAAATAACCTTGTTCTAAACGTTTACGGTCTTTAACTTCTATTATTCAATAAAATAGATGCTTTTTTCTTCGATCGATTCAAGGTGTCTCTTCAATGATGATCGACGAAGCGAATCACAATAGATCAATAATATGAAAACGATGATTCGATGATTTTGACAGTTCTTCTCCCGCTATCGTGCGTGAGAGTGGTAGATACGTAAACATTGCACGTGTTGAATGTGTACTTAGACCTTTTCCTTACTCATATTTGATGTTGATGTTTCGAAACTACGTCGCACAATATAGATCGCATCGCAGAGCAACAAGAGTGTAATTTGATGAACCGCGATTCGATATAATGCATTGAGATTGAAGCACTACTATTATTTCATCATTGGTTTGTAACCGACCGAGATGAACACGGATCAAAGTCAAATCGATATCCGTCACTTTTTTTTCTATAAAATTTTTATCTTGTCTTCTTAGTTCGATGTAAAAATATTTGAAGCTAATAAAATATGCAAAACAAAAATTGTATGGCAAAGAACTCATTTTACTATAGTTAGAATGATAATTTCATTGTGATTTTTTTATTTTAAATAAAAAACTAAAAACAAATGAAAATACAAATTATTCGAATCAATGTCGATTTATCATCAGTATTTCATATAAATGTTGATATTCATGTTTTGTTTTGTCGATTGATAATACAATTTTGTGGAACTCACATATATTTTCGAAGAAAATAGTGAGTGTAAGTTGAATTGTTAGGTTTTTGCGGCTCCCCTGTACCCCACCCCCTCCCCATTACAGACGTAAAATATAAAAAAACTAACACTTAGATGCACTAATTAGAAATTNTTGGAAATTTCAGAAATTTCGGAAATTGTATAATTTTGGGAAGTACCAAACAATTTAGAACACAAGTACTTGAAATTTCCAAAACTTCCAAAATTTCCTTTTTTGGAAGTCTGAACACTGCTGTACAGAAGCGAGCAACTAGTTTATGTTACTATTACACTCGTTACTTCTACCACGTACAATAAACAGATGAAGATTTTAATCTTTTTTTTTTCTCACATGAATACCTTAATATAGAGCTTGAATCCACTTTAGTGTATTTACAATTCGCAACTTTTCCATCCACTGGGAAGCGTTTATCAAATTTTCGTTTATGAGAAAATGTATCAATTTCTCACCTGATAATACGAAAAAATATAAATTTCTCAACAATATTGTCAGCTATATCTTAAATACTGTTTAAACTATTATCATTCACAATATTTCTCAATGAAACCACTAAACACTTCAGCATACCGACATATTCTAAACAAGAAGTTTCTTATACGGTCTCTCTAGTAATATTTCCTATTGATAGATTCAATAAACTTCAAATGTTAAAAAGGTTTTATTATCTTATTTTTGAACAAAATATGATCTCACTAGATTGAAAAAATAAAACTTCTATTTGATCAGTATCTAACTGACCGAGATATGTGAGTTCCACATTTTAGCCCGCACGGGGCTGTGCTGAAAAGCTTTTCTATAATAACTTTTGTTTTCTATTGATTTAATTTCAGCGAAAATCTCTTCCAAAAAAAACGAATCACACAATACTTCTTACTTCTTCGTGAATTTTTATTTAATTGCTGATGTATTACCTTTGTAGAAATCAAACTAATAGAATATTTTAACGTTAAGGCTTTCATATGGAAAATTATATCGTTTACAAGAGGTCTATTTCGAACAATGAATCATTCATGGATTTGATTACTAAAGTAAATACGAAATAAAGTTTTACAAATATGGTTTCTAGTGCTTACAGCTGAAAATTTTGGTCACTTTACAAACGTTTCACTCTCTGGTATTCGATATACTAATATGTTTGTCATAGGAATGAACCAAAATACATCTTGCCACAAGTTGCAATTTCATTAAGATGCCTATAATTTTATAAGAAAAGATTTAAGAACATTTATTTTGCTGTATTATTTAGTTAACATTTCAATTGGATGTACACCGCGTGCAATTATAGAAATCTATTAGCTACTTCTAATGGTTTATTGTTCATACATTTTGAATGATTCAGTTCTTAAAATTATTTCTAAGCGTTGCATTCAATCAATATTATATTTCAATGACTTCATAAAATTTAATATTACTACAAACACACTAACAATTAAAATAGAGAACAATAACAGTAAAGAAAACAAATAGATTCACATGAAGAATCTAAAATGAGTACAATTTTACCAGTCAATAGAATGAGAAAAAAACCAACGGGGAGCAAACTGATTTTCAGGCATAGAAATCACTAGAAATAATCATGCATTAAAGATGTGAATAAAGACTCAGTTATTAGAAATTACAAGAAAAAAATGTAAATAAATATAACTCACAGAAATTTTCGAACTATACAGTGAAAGAAAATATTGATTACTGATGATTTTTACTAATTTCCTTTTTCTTCAGAATGTACAATGTTTTCAGTGACCACTGTTGATTTCTCATAATTTTTCAACATTTCTGAACGTTTCCAATGATTTCTGCTGGTTTGCAATGATCATATAAAAACTGATCTCCAGTCATAGAAATCACTAGAAATCATAAAAAAATCAAAAAGAATCATGGAAATCAGTTTGTTCCCCCTTGGAAAAAAAACACTCAAATGTACTCACTGCGGACCCACATATCTGTATACTACTTAGAGTTCGAAGACTTTCTCCATGTAACCATACATGTATTAGCAACTTCTATCGTAAAGAGTTTCGATATCATTAGATGACGTTGTATTTTACTGTGTTAACGATAAAATTATCAACAGCTATTAATATTCGAATCTTATGAAGTAGAACTTGATGATATATGAATTATTAAATAGACAATGACATTTTCTACAAACGTACACACTCTCTAGTTAAAAATCACAGGAAAACTGTCGGCCACCTTTTCAGATGGGGATTCTATTTTTGAAGATGTATGCCAGCATTCAACCCCATTTGAATATGGATGACATTAGATCACTCCCATCAACTTTATACGTCTCCAGGTATTTTTTTGATACGGGATAACGAAGAAAAACGGTTCGCAGCTCTTCTATAATTTGGCGACATTCAACAGCAGTTATACATGAATTAAACAGTCGATATTGTACTGCTTCTGCTTCTTTTATAACTTCTTCCCAGCCAGGTTCATTCGGTACTTCCCATTCATGATTGTTATAAACAATCCGTTGCATTGTCGGTCTTGATAAGCCCATGTCCACTAGTAGAAGCATCCAAATAATAATAATAAACATGTTTACCGGTTGAAACTATGATAATTTAGTCGCAAAAATGTGTTGTTTCCTACAATCACTTGCGATACAAGTGAGCAATATCTAAAATATATCACAATTTTCGTTTGGCCTCAATAATACTAAATAATTCTCTAGTAAAATAAGCTTATATACTGTTTTTATTTTTCGCTTATTAATATTTTTCTTAGAAAAACAAAATACCCACGCAAGAGAACTACTACACTTTCTCTGAATCATACTCACTCTATATCATAGGATTGTAAGTCAGAGTTAAAAAAAACGTGCAGCCTGCATGTTTTCAAGAGCATTTGCCAACTTGAGAATGGCGGTCTGACGCAATGACCACTCAAAGTAAATAGAGTAAAACATCAGATTGACTGAATTTTTTGATTCAGCACACTCAAAATGAAGAAAAAGGGAAAGGGGAAAATCGGTGAAAAATAAAAAGAGGTCGATGATTTGTTTTTCGCGCCTGTCTTCGAAATTTCGACATGACAACACATCCTTACGTCATACACTGCTATGATTTCGTACGTTTTAATCCGCATTTGTCATTTTTCACGTTCTCCCAATAATATTCTCTTTTTTAAATGTATTTTCTCATCAGAACTTAAGGATTCACCTATTCCAATATGCGTATTTGTTTTAGGCTTCAGCGCTTGTAATACATATAGAGGGGGAGGGGGCGATATGGAGAAATGAATCAATATGTTGCTCTTTTGATTTCATGACACGATTGTCAAGAACGTTACTAGGGGGATTCCTTTTTCTGTAAATTTGCGCTGTTAGTTTTCTTTCGTCACTGTGTCAATAATGTCGTTCCGTTAGATTCAACGTCATTCAGGTTGAATTAAAGAGAGTGAATGAAACTGTCAATAGTCATAATTGATTTTTAAATGTTAGTTCTATGTGATAGTGAACTATCTAAAAGTATACTTATCTTAACTTGTATTACCAGTATGGTAGACATAATATTTTTAAAAAGCAACACTAGAAGTCTTCTTTGGCCAAGTAAAATTATAGAATGATCTAAAAATGCGTTGTAAAAGCACATGATTTTTCGTTCAAACCAGTTTTGTCAAAAGAACAGAAGACCTACTTATATATTTATATATGCATAATTTTTGATTCTCATGCCAAGCAAGAAACTAATATCCAAATAATAGTGCGAATTGTCAAGGACACTCGCTTTCAAATGTATTCTTTGTCAAACTTTCATAGGTAGACTCTTTTAAAGAAAGGTTTCTACAAAAGCAAAGCACAGCATGTTTTTCCAGCTTCTAGGTTACAGTAAAAAGAAATTCTTAACATTACTACCCATAAATGAATAATAGCTAATGGAGAATACTCAACTGAAATAGTCTACTACACATTCATTTAGTTCATGCCTAGTCCGCGGTATGCAAACGGAATAAAACAATTGAACAATAGCTTTATTCAGATATTTGATTTGATAATGCCTGAGATGCGGCTGACCTTCTAATGGCAAGCTATAGTTGTATAGCAGCGAAGAGTTATCTTTAAGCAGTGCAAATAACAAAGTGCCCTTAGAGTCACTCCATATCTAAATGAAACTCACCGACATAAGATATATTAATCAAAAATGGATTTGGATTACATATGATGGAAAACTCTTACGCTTAGAAGTAAAGCAGAACAAATAATTCTAATATCTTAATAATACGATTATTTCATTTTAGTTCAAATATGAATTCTAACGTCTTATAATGAAGATTGCCAGAGTTGCATTTGCGATTTATGTCTTATATTCCTGTTCCTTTATTCTTGTTTTTTGCTTTTCAATTTCAGATGAGTGCAATCTTTGCACATATTACAATATAAATTTTCGTTCCTGATAGGATACGAGAACCGTATAGTTCGATCGGCTAGTTCACGCGGGATATTGAAAACATGTTTCTATGTAATGTTTTTCTTTCTCTATTTAAAACTATAAATAACAGGACTTCGCGTAACTGGCTAAGCTTTAAAGGTGACTTCGCACTAGTTACATATATATATAAGTACGGGAATTCTTTAATGCATGCTCAGATAAATCCCAGTATCTCTGGTGCCGAGCTGGGTTCATTTGATAGGGATTCCCATTGATTATTCAAGTCCCTATTTCTGAAATATTTCTTTCCAATTTTTTTCAAAACATTAAAAAAATATCACGCACCAATTTAAGTGAATTAAGCATCGTTCTTTTTTACATCGCTCGCAGAAAGAAAGAAAACGGTGTAATAACTCGAACTTTCCAAATTGACTCATTTTTAAAGACGTCATATAGTTTGTTGATTTTTAACTTCTGTAGTTTTTGATGATATTGCGTAAGTTTTTCTACTACCTTATTTGCTTATTTGAATTTTTCCGTGTGAAATATATCTGTTTTCAAATTAAAAACAAATCTCTAGTCTCATAGAAAGATGGAAAATGTGAAAGAAAGGTAAACACAAAGACAAAAAAAATGGATAAAATATATAACATTGTCATAATCAATCAGATTTTCATATATACCTGAAAGAAAACTAGAATCAGTGATGGATTCCATTCAAAACTTGTATAGTACGCAGATATATCTTTTTTTAAATTTATATTTCAATGCTTGCATGACTTGTATTTATTTTATGTGTAAACTCTTTAATCAGTACTTATAGTTAATTAAGATCTAGTTTATTTAGCTAAATGTTACAACAGAAATATATGCTTAGTTGCCATAAAAATACATACAGTATGCATTTCTTAATAAAATATCATTCAATAACAAATTATTTGAATTTCAAAAAAATTCATAAAATATTTTTGTAGCATATTAGAAGATTTTCAAAGATAAATCCATGATCGATGTTGCTTGGTAAGCTTTTCCCACTTTGAGAATCACATAGCTCGACTCGCTTGATGAACACGCCTATTTATGTCAATATTTTTTATTTTGGCATTCTGGATCATTAGTTTTGAGTCAACTTAACACTTTCTAAAAATTAAATTTAACATCATCCCGCTCTCTTGTAGACATAGTTTGAAAACATGAAAGGAATCTTTATATGCAAAACCTTATTATACACGACTACAGTATCGATATCATGTTCTACTTATCGAAAGACGTTTCGGAATCACTGCTAGAAACGTGAGTACTCCGGTGATTTTTATGAAACCAATTAAATGCCACATTATGTCACGTTTAGCGAAAGATTCTTACGGTAATTCTCTGCTATTCACCGACGAAAACATCATACAAAACCGAAACCTATCCTCTATTTATAATGCCTCGACTAAACACTTACGCTCATTGAATGTACTCATTACACTTAAAATACATATAATGCCTCCACGGCGTGATCACAGTTACGAGTCAAGTCTTGGGTGGACACCACCAAACGAACTCCATCAATGATCAATGAAGTTATCAAATTTTACATCATGCATTTCATATTTACAATTTGTAGATTAGCGATTACCTTCAGCATCACTAGAAAAAAAGCAGATTGTCCTATATAATTTTTTCTTTATGCTTTAAAGCAATTGCATAACTTCAACTGAAAAACAAGCTCGTACCTGGCAAGAAGTTTCGTGTTAAAATTTTCGTGCTTCACCTAAGTGAATGAATTATTTTCAGCATGTGATTCAAACTTCATATCTAGCTTTGAAAGTAAGTGATTTTGTTCTATGGAATCAACTGGCCTCATATTTTTAATCATATTGTGGGATTTAGTAATCTATCTCAGATAGAAGTTTAAGGGGGAACCCCCCCTCAGAAAGTCAAGTTTTGTTAGAAAATTCGATTTTTCAAAAAATGCATTATCTTGTAGCTCTGAGTGTCCTCTTTCAGAATATATATAAATTATATGAAAATGATACATATTTAGGCTTTTTTTGCGCGTTTACTCGAAGCCATTGTAGAAATAGTCTAATTTTAGTGAGTTTTTCCTTAGTTACCGTGAATTGGTATCGTTCAAATTTTGATTCGAGCATTAGAAAACCATCCTGATATCAAATAACATGTTTCTAAGCGGTCTGAGCGCCTGTAAGAAGATTTTGGTAGGTGTTCTTAAGCAACGAAAACCCTGTGTATGTAAGCGACAGCTATTATTCCAACTGTATCTTCGAATGTAGGGATGTAACACTAGCAGTGCACTACTAGAGTAACGATACAGATTGTTATTGATCTATATTAGTAATAGATAGTACTTGAGCTGACCATATAATATGTTACAAATATTTACACAGGAACACCATGAACTACCCCACAATGTTGTAAGTCATTTTTCTCAGCGTCACTTTTTTCTTGTTTTCTGATCACTACGGAACATTTTCTGGGTCTATCGCTCAATGCATACTACTGATTCTCTTTTATTCGAAAGATCAAATATTTCTCTATAAATTGTAGAGACAGATTTTTAAAATATATTTCGGTTGTTCAGATATTTGAAAATCTTTGAAACAGTTCATAGTAGTTTTCTATGAGTTTCAGTTTAAAATGACCATTGCAATTGAACGAAGCCGAATAAGAAAAAACTGTTCCTACAATTTCTAGATAAAATATTTTTCTTCATTTAGAAACAAAGTTCAGTATTTTACATGCTACCGTACATCGGGAAAATGTTCCGTGCCGGAAGCCCTGTTTTGATGAGTAAAATGAGTATAACTCAATTATTATTGAAAATGATTGGTTCAAATTTTTATCAGATGCTATTTATAATAGCTTTTATATTTCATGAAATTTTCATCCAAATCTGTTACATCGTTTAGAAGATAGGTTTCTGAGGGGGAGGGGGTTCCCCCTTAACATTCTTTTTTTTTCAACAAAACTGAAATCAATTCAAACGGATGCTGTATAGCAATAAATTATAATAAGTTCGCGATTTTATCATCATTTAATAGTTGAAAGTGTTCTAGTTTGTCATGTACTCTTAAATCAATGTTGTATACCTAGTGGCACCAAAAATATTTTGAGAAAACTAGATTTTTTCCTGATTTTTGTATCGGCGGTATCAATTTTCTAGTCGTATTTTTCATACATCGATGGCAGACAAGAACTTTCGTTCCGCTTAAGTTTAAAATTTTTGTTAGCCATAATCTATTCAGATTATATAATACCGAGTTTTTCTTGATAAGCACATGATATTACTTCATTTTTTTTAGTAATTACACTATGCTGTCAGATCGGCATTTGAATCTTTTCTTTTCAATGGCATGACCAATTTTAAATAATCTAATATTGAGTTTGCAGTTCGTTTTAAGCATTATATATTAAAATCAATATCATTAACTTCATTTTTATCTTGCCAAATAGTTATAATTAAATTTGTATCTGTATATAACGAAAATAATGTTCTATTTTATAAGCTGTTACAATAAGTAGATGTGAAGCAATAATAAGAGCATAATATTTTGACATATGAATTAATTTCTGATTAAATTAAATGTTCTTTCCTTCAGAATGAACTATCATGAATATTTTCTAATCTTACTTATATTTTTACTGCAGCCATCTTCTCACTTTTTCGTGCATATTGTCAAGTTTTGGGATAGATGATGACCAAAATTATTCATTTCCACGCAATACAAGAGTTACAAATTAAAAAGATTCGTCGAAGTACTATTCTAGAATTAGTTTGTCTTTTATGTTGGGTATGTTTGATAAATCAATTTTCCATATGAATTTCTTCAGTTAATAAGTTTCGAATAAAGTAATCATAAGAGATACGCCTATATTTGATTCTATGACCAATTTCGATTTCGTTCGCACATCTCGTAAAAATACATATGTGCCACATTTATTTGACATTTTTCGATCAAACGTTTGTAAATGCTATTCGCTTCAAATAAAAGATGCATATGAAGATTAAAACTGTATTGAAAACAAACATTCTGCTCCAAAAAATTTAACGTTCTATTTGCTCGAGCAAAACAGATTTTTCCTATCATTATCCTTTCTAACTTCGAATAATCAATTTCAATGAAATTCAGATCAATGGAAACAACTATTTCCATAAAAGTGGTGCATGAACTAAATAGATGCTAATTCACGCTGTGATCGATACTAAATTAGGATAACTAATAACTATATATTATTCATTATTTTATCCGATCAAGAAAGCGTGTAGAAGAGAGAAAAGTTTATTTTATTTTATTTTTTCTAGCATACGAAAGTCACATGTACAGCTATGCACAGAATAGATAGGAACGATGAAGAACAGACAAAACAATAGCTGTGGGTATGAGTGTGTTGCTACAAGTGTGCATGGCTTTCAGCTATTTACCCATACTCATACTCACACATCCATAGATTCTTAACTTAGGCGACATACTACCATCAGCGATTTACTCTTCAGCAACTATCATGCTATGTGACAAATGATTAGTGAGAACTAAAACATTGTATAGATTATGAGTCGAAATGATAATTAAAGAGTTGTATCTTTTTTTGTTTCATTTAATATTTCTACAGTTCGCCGATTCAAGATAAACTCTTAAAGGTTTTTGTCTGTTGGGTTCAATTAATAATTTCATTACAGGGACGTTCTTTCAGATTTGATCCTGATAAAGCATATAAGATACGAGTTGAAAATGATTACGCTGTTGTGTGCACAACGATCTAATCAATAAACGATTTAACAGCATAACAAGAGAAGTGATTGGAGCAATAAAAATGAGAAGAACTCTAACACGAATAGAGATTATAGAGAATCACTTACTTTTAATTCATGAAAGGCATCTATTTTTAAACTATGACCAAAAAACCTATTGAGAGCAATAAGGGCAAATGATAGAAGATCATTAATTGTGTACTTAAATTCTTGCTACGCAAATCAAAAATTGAAACAAGTACTATTATCTCAAAAGAGACGTAATCATGTCTCTTCAGTGAATTTTGTACGCACAGTCAATTATTAGCTCTGGCAAGAGTAATATCTATATTTTATGGTAAAAAAAATGAAAATATTTATCACAATCCAGTTATTAATAGTTTTTTGATGGCATCAAAATGGCATGGAAATAAATAATAAAACCGCACGAACTATAGTCCATTCATTTTTATTGTAGCTAAACGTTTAAGGTATGGTTTTATGCGGATATTTCATCTCAAACTAAACCATGCTTATGATATACTTACTATTGAATGATTTAAATACTCGAGTTCTACAAATCTATATTAACCTTGAAATTCTCCTGGCACAAAAACAAAACTTAATTGATGAGTATTTTTAATACTTAGATGATTACTTAAACGGAATGTTAATAGTTTTGCTTTCTGCTTGATAAACATTATAAGGAATATTTTCAGACTAACTCTCATGACTTTCTAAAGTTCGATGAGTTTCAAAAGTCTATACCATCAAGAAAAGCGAAACTTAAGAGCTGTAAATTCAACTCTTTATGTTGAAAAAAGAAAAGTCAGACATTTTTTGATCGACAGCATATAAAAAAAGCAATTGCCATCGAAACATGTTAATTCATATACGTGTCATTGAACCAATTGCCGCTCGTTACCATACCATTGGCAAATGTCATAGTGCCCCATCCATGTTTCTTATCATTCATCCAAGATCCTTGATATTGCCAACCTTCGCGAGATGTAAATATCCCGTGCCCATGCATAAGGTCCTTAATAAAATTACCCACATATATATGTCCACAGTCCCCACAATGAAAGGTACCATATCCATCCTTCAGGCCATCTTTCCAATTTCCGTCATATCGACTACCATTAGGCCAGACGGATACTCCTTGACCGTTAGGTTTATCGTTTACCCAACTACCAACATATTTATGGCCACAGTTGTTACAATCAAAACTTCCATGCCCCTGCCTAAGACCATTTTGAAAAGTTCCTTCGTATCTGCCATCTGGATAGTTAACAATTTGGATGGAGTTAGGGGCCACATAAGACAAGTTCTGGTTGTATACTTGAGAAGACATAGAATGATTTGAAATGACTGGGTATTGTTCGGCATGATTTGTTGCATTTGAATATGTTTGAGCATGATTCGGCGAGACTGTCGGGAATGAAGTTCGATTTGGTTTTACTGATAACGATTGAGAGCTCATGGTATCGCGATATTGTCGAGCAAGGAGGGGCACATTAGTAATGTTTATCTGGGACTGATTCGGCATTACTGCCACTAGTCTATCATTAACACTGGTTTTCAATTCCTGTAAATAGTTTGGAGCGACGGGTACCCATTGATGTTGGTTTCCATTTGGTGGATAAGTTTTTTTGTGTTTGTCTACTTGCATTGTTTTTGGTTTCATGCTGAAGTCATTTTGAGTTTTTGGTTTATAATCTAGAAAAAACGTTTTCTTCTCAATACTCATAATCGACCGTCATTTGATATATTTAATATCTACTCACTAGACAATGTTTCATTCTTTGTCTTTGTTGATTTCTTCTTCTGATCAAACGGCACGAAATTGGGCGTTTTTTTTGAATCATCCGTATCTTTAGTGAATCAATTAAATACAATTAGACGTAAAAATTGTTTCAACCAGTAAACATTTATCACGAATGAATTTCTCAAAACCATGATAGAATTGAAACATTTAAGATTTCGATGAACAATATGAACAAATAAAAAGTACTACTCAGTAGGGACTATGAAATGTGAATATAAGCCGTGTTTTTATGTATGCTCTCAATAGCACACACAATTATTACATCGATATTGGTAGTGCTATTATTTCATAACGTTGATTATGAATGACATCCTAATATCAATGATATAGGACAACATTTTACATTTTCTGCAAGGGAAAGAAACTGATTTCAATGGTCACAGTAAATTAAAAATCACCTGAAATTATTTGAAATCAGTTTGTTACTTCCTGTACACGACAGAGTATATTAATTTAAGCGAGCCAACATTTAGAAGCCAACCAATATGATGAAAAATGACGATATAAGGTTCTTATAACTACATGATATGCTATCCTCTACATCTTCCGTTAGATTCTTTTCAGAAATTGTGCTCGAATTTTTTAATGTTAAAGTACCATTTCAAAGAAAACGTCAATTTCATCTACTACAGAATAGTGTTTTAACAGCTCCTTGATATTGATAGAACAAATGAATAGAATACTTACGTTGTGCTGTTCCATCAGATGCCGTTGGTGGCAAGTGAACCTGTACAATAGCTGATGCTAATTGCTCGTCACTATTGTCACTCAATTCTCTTAAATGTATTACGTGTAGACCGCCAAGATGATTCAATGCATTACTCTCAACTTGCAGACGGGTGCCTGGCATCAGTATGAGTTCATCTTCATTGTCAAAGTTCGTGTAGCCTTTAATATTCCTTCCATTAACTGCTTCAATCAAGAAAAGAGTCGAATTGATATCGACAAATCCTTTAATAACATCGACAGATGATGAACACGAATTCACAGCCCACCAAGTCAATATTTGATCTTTCTTTAATTTCTCACTGAGATCTTTTTGAACCCCGCGCCATATAGCTTTCTTTACTGAAGGTAGTTTTTCAATTGCTACTTCGAATAGTTTAAGAAAAGGAAACCAAGGCTTTAGTTTAGATCGGTCTTCACTTCTTAGTGCTTGATTTAATACACGATAGAAGCTACCTTTGCCCCACTCCATCGTGTACAAATATACAGCAGCTGATTCATCGCGTGTGAGACCATGTTCTGAAGGAAAATGGCAATGTTGCTTAGCTACTTTGATATAGCGAGACAATTGATCGATATAAGGAAGGATTGCAATTAATGATTGTTCCAGAGAGACAAGTTTACAACTATAATATCCATATATTGGTGAAAGTGTTTTCGTACCGAGATCGAAATCAGTAAAACGATTCATAATGTTTCTTAAGCCTTTTGATAGCCAATAAAAACAATGAAAGAATATGTTTTCAATGCTAACTTGCGTAAGGAGTGACACGTCGTAATATTTGATAACTTGATTTTTGAAGAAATTCGCTCTGTTATTGAAAAGTTTCTAATAATATGGATAATAGCTACTTGATAAACTAAAATAAAAACATAAATATGAATAACATTCAGAAAGGAGGTAGACGTTTAAAGTTAGAAGAATAAAACGTGCTGGGTGACTCTCATCTTCATCGACATTCTAAAAATATCTTCCCCCAACTGTCTTTCTTATTCATATGTCCATAGTCAAAACATGTCTCATATCTATAACTCACAGCTTTGTTTTTATTGTGTTCATTCTTTTTTTTGCAGAGCTTTCTTCATTCTTTAAAGGGTGATAGCTATTTATACTTAAGATTGCAATACTACAGGTGGTGCTAGTACTTATTCTTGTGCGTTATAATACGCAATCATACTGAATTCATATTTTTTTTAAATTACTTATTTTTTTCGAACTTATTGATTTGCGCAACATCAATAGAGCGTGATATTTTGTAGAGGTGGATACATAGTTATATGAAACTGTAAACATCATTTTTTTGCATTCCTCTTCGTCTACCTGGTAGGTTATATCGTAAAAAAGAGATACATTTTTATAATGAATCTATTTCTTGTCTTCATTTGAAATGCTCTACCATGAGAGGGAGAGTGTTTGTACGTGTATAGAGAAGTAATGATTTTCAATTAAAAAGCGTTTCATTACGAACTGCGAAATCTGCAGTTACGGTATATCTGAAACGACGATGTATTGAATGCGTTACTAGAGCGAAGCATAAATCGATTTTCAATAGGAAACATATATAAGAGTGAATTTTGCTGGCATTGTACGGTTTGCAGAAAAAAATGAAAGTGAACGCTGGAATAAATTGACATGTGCATTACATAGATCACCATTTCTTGCATACAAGTCAAGTATTTCCCACGCTGTCAAGTCTTTGATTTGCGAAGAAATTGAGATCATAAAGTATATTTAAGGTTTGAAGTCGCTTGACAAAATTAAATCTCTGCGTGAAAAGTTTTCCGATTATCAGTATATCACAGTCATATCCTTTTGAAAAGTATAATCCGGGAGTGTGTGTGTGTGTGTGTGTGGTCTCTGCATATACGCACACCCTCAGGTATTAAGAATCCTTGAAAAATATTTGTAAACGTCTCTTAGTCAAGATAAATCAAAGAACGCTAAATAAATTTGCTTTTCTCTAAATATCTATCATTTTAATCTGTTGTGACATTTTTTGAGTGAAAATATTATTTTCTCGTGAACGATACTTATTTAAGAGCTCAACTTTTTATAACAGATCTATCATATAGTCAGTCAAAAAAGATAAAATAATCATTGACTAATCTCGTATAGTTAGCGAGAAATCAAAGAATCACAAGAAGAAATCTTGCGTGACATTTAGTGCAACAATAACCACCCATCTGTTTTAGTTTTTATCTTCTTGCTTGATCCTGAACATTTTTGAAAATATTTTTTTATCAAAATATTTCGCGTTCTTTGCTCTATGAAATAGAAAAAAAGAAATTTGGGTTAACTTGTAAAAAGTCTTTAGCAGTTGCAATTTGATCTGTTGTGACAAAAAAATGACCAAAGTGTATGTTTAGAAATTTTTTGCAAAATTTGATCAGAAAATCAAAATCAAAGTTATGATCAATTTGTATCTTTGGAAAGAGTAATGTGCTATCTACCAACTGATGTAAAAAGTTCGTTTTATCCAATCAGAATTATAGGATAAAAAGCAGAATTTCTATCGATAGCTGCCACTCAACAACTTTCATTTTGATCTGTCATGTTTCAAAACTCCTCAGCCACTGAGCTAAAATATTTGATACTTTTATGGTAAGCAGAGCGAATCAAATGAAACATTTCAAAAGAAAGATGGTCCAAATCGGTTAAGTAGAAGTTGAGATCTAAGCTTTTTCGTGTTTCCAGAGCAATCGTACAATGCCAGCGAAATTCACTGTATATATAGGAAATCATTCAAGGGGGAAAAAGCGGCTCCTGGTGTAACGATAAGAATGTTTTATCGTGATATCGAACTGGATAGAGGTGGAGTAGCTTACCGCTACTCTAGGTAATGATGTTTATTCGTTTATTCACATATCCAGAGTGTAACGACACAACTAGAGAGTGTCGCCTATGCCCGTCGACATGATGGTATATTGTGTCATCTGACATCTCTAGAGTGTAACAACTTCATACATAACACACGTATATATAGGAGAGAGATAGAAGAGAGNGTGTAACGACGCAACTAGAGAGTGTCGCCTATGCCCGTCGACATGATGGTATATTGTGTCATCTGACATCTCTAGAGTGTAACAACTTCATACATAACGCACGTATATATAGGAGAGAGATAGAAGAGAGGTACATTAGAACAATGGAAAGAGAACAGAAAGAGAAGGAAGGAGAATCATCGAAGCGTGCCATCAATATCGGCACACCTATTTGGTCACCAGAATGGGTCATATTTATTTTATTCACCACAGGTGTGGATATGATGTATAGATGTGTCTGTGGATTTCTATTTGTGGTAAATGATAACCAACCCTCGACTCCTCTCGACTGAGAGACATTACTAGACATTTCATTGTTATCGCGAAACAATGTTAAAAAGAACTTAGCTATAAAGCGCGTTTCTAAAAAAAGATGCGTTTTTAATAATAGCAATCGCATTACACTCCCGAAAATGCATGAATACTACATGCGAGTTGTAACGTAGTAGTATACACTACTGTTATTCTCGTTTCGTTTCTATTGTTTTTCTGTTTCTTTCGTTTCTGCTTTCACAGTATGCTAGAAATATACATATAGATATATGTATTGTTTTTCTTTCGTTCTTTGATCTTTTCTTGATCTCAACTTAGATTGGCTATTCTTAAAAAGGAGAAGATATTATTTTCGGCCGTGACCTTGCTTTCTCTATTACGCAATAATATTGTCTATTACGTAATATATATTTTTGTGCTTTTTGAAAATAAAGATAGATTGTTAATATTAGATTCTTTGGGAATACGTGACACGAGTAAAATTCTGCACATGTCTCTTGGATTCCCCGATTGCAAATGATTCGTTTCATATATGATAACCATGTAAAAACATTTTACTCATCATTTTTTTTTTGTCAAGAAATCTTGGACCTTTCATATATTTCGAAATCTCAATTTTCTCTGAAATGGAAATCCTGACAGTGGGGAAAATAGTTGACTCATATACAATAAATAAGGCTCTATCGAATGCACGGGCCAAATCTATCCTCTGTTTACTTTTATTTTTTCCGATTTTTTTTCTTCAAACCGTATGATGTTAGCACAATTCACTCATATATTTTATTTTTCTATTCTTGATAGGTAATTACGTTATGTTATTAACTCACAGTGAAGCTTTCAGAAATAAACATGATTGCCTTCAAAAGAATATTGTTCTTTCGCAAGTTTCCTCTGTAACGCATTCTTATCTTTCATGTGACGCATTACTGTTTCATCATACTATTCAGTAGTAGAAAATAATATATTTAAGTAAGAACCAATATCAGAATCAATTTCATAAAAACTTGTGATGGCAAAAATGCGTTCGATATTCCTTCCGGGTTCATCTTCATGGGCTTTACACAATATTATTTTCGACATAATCATTGTTTTGAAGCCATTTAAATTAATTAGATGGTTCATAATGAGTGTCACATCAATGATATTAACTACTTATTTGAATGTGTCATTTTTCTCTACGATTACAATGAATATTACTGAAGGTCTGAAATATCTTTTTCTACTCATCATATTTGAGAATATCACATCTTACTGTTTACTCAAACAGAGTCTAGCAAAGAAAACATTTATTCTTGATTTTTTAAAGCATTTTCAAACGAAATTAAATCAAAGAATACTCAGCACCGATTGGATCAAGATTAAGTTGTCTGATCAAGTAGAAATTCGACGAAAGATCGAAGAAGCTTCTTCGTCTGTACAATACTTGATCGAAGAATTTATTGATCAAATGAGAGAAATCTCTACATTTTGTATGACTGTGATCACCATCTTTTATATTTGTCCTTTTGCAACTATACTAATCGCTATTGTTTATATCTGTTTTTATAAACTGTATCTGAACAAGCAGAGTAGTGAGCTGCTTGAGGTTAAATTGAAAATGATTGAAAAGAATGATAAACTATATTCAAAGTACTCAAGAGCAAACGCGAACATGTTTGAATATGTCATTCATCATGAAAAGGACAAAATTATCAATATCACAAATGAATTAAAGATCGATATGGAAAGACATTGGTTTTTACTTGATTATCTTTACGACAAGTTATCATTTAAAGAAGATATACTTGGCAAATCATGTACATTTGTAACTATTGTCGTATATTACCTCTCAAATGGAACTAATATGTTCATTATTCCATTATATCATTACCTATCAACCTTGACGGACACAATTCACACTATGGTAGTCGCATATATACGATGGTTAAGACTGAAAAAAGACTACGACCTTGTTAAACCGATACTTGAAGAGCATGATGAACGGATTTATTTTGAACAAATAGATTTGAATTATGCATTACATATTCGAGATCTTTCATTTCAATATGAAGGTAAACGTGAAGCTTTTCATTTGCAATTACATGGCATTCTAACATTCAAAATGGGAGAAGTAATACTGATAACAGGCAAAAGTGGTGCAGGTAAGATTCAATGTTTGCATACTTACCTTCTAGAAAGTTGTTAATACAATAACGAATATTATTCTAGGTAAATCGACGTTCTATGATATTTTAAATGGTTCAATACCGACAAAAGATTATTCAGCAACGATACAAATTGATAATAGCCAAGAATCAAAGACTCTTCATGCAATTGAAAAGTGTCGAACAATGGTTTTACAGGATAGCGACATGGATTATCGATCAACTATTTACAGTATGATCACGGATATTGATGAAGATGAAGTAATACAAATGAGAACTTCAGAACTCGATTCACTCGTATGGGAATTTCTTCGCCTTGTTCAAATCGATGATTTCGTTCGAAACGAACTCAATTCAGATCTCGATCAAGCAATGGAAAATAAACTTAGCGGTGGACAAAAAACACGATTATTATTAGCACGAGCTTTGTACCGTGCTCACAATCGTAATTCTTCTTTACTTATTCTTGATGAGCCTGATCGAGGTCTTCCAGCAGAAACAACATTGAGCATTATTGAAAATATCATGAAATGGTATCGATCAAAAGGTATACTAATTCTCACGCTACATACAGAACGGGCACATTTACTCAATTTTGATCAAGTTCTACATATTGAAGAAGGGACTATAACAAAAATCAAATAATAGTGATTAACGATATAGGAAATTTTTTTCTAACTAATATTGTTCGTTTTAATTGTAATGTTATATAAATGTATACCCATGCTAAGTTAACAGTATTTTTTTCTTAATTTTACCCGTGATTGATCTCACTAGCACCAACCTGAACGGCAAAATCATGAAAAAATTGGTAGCTTCAATGCAAGTCGATAAATCTTAGTTTCTTCGAATAGCTATCCAAGTGAACTTGTGCGCAGAGAGGTAGAGTATCAACGCAGTTAATATTAAGATTTTTTATCGAGACTGGTGAACATTTTCCAATAAAGTATCAAGTTGCTGTCATTTGAAAGCATATCGTCAGTCACTTTATCTTTTGCACGCTCGATTTGATAACTCATACCATAATTCTGTAAGAAGTAAACAATAAAAAAGAAATAAGATGAAAGTGTTTCTATTATCTATCGAAAAATATCATAAGTTTGCACTTAGACAATATATATATATATAAACCAACCATTTTGTATTGTATTAGATTACTCGTGAGAGCAAGAGTTTGCATGAGCGACGCTTAGTTTATAGAGATGATGATATTACTTTGTTCTTATACTAGTACTTCACTTGCTGCATTTTAGATATGCGTTAAATTTTTAAGAGAACTGACAATTCTGTTTGTAAACCATATTCTAAGCACTCAAGAAAACTGTTAGAATTCTATTTCATACGATTGCTTCACCATAAATTGAGTTTCCATTTATGACTTCACTCAAAGACTTCTACACAAACTACCATGAATGCCTTTCATTCGAATGCGCTTGATACAAACCATTCACTATGATAAAAAAATAACAACAATTAATGACGTTTTACTAAAATAAAATGAACCAGACGACGTCGATTAAAAGTAAGCCTAGGTTTAAGTTGCATATCATATTGTCAGATATTAGCACCGTAATTGTAATAGAATGCTTTTCCTCTTGATGACAGAAGCAAAAATTGTCATTCAATGTAATTTTTTTCTGCTCCATCATTTCGCCTAGAGAAAGATTATAAAAGCGTTTTGCCCTATTGGTATTAATTGGTGTAAAATCTATAAAAAAGAAAGTTCGAAAAATGAAGCATAATTTCTTCTTTTTATTTTTTATTCTGTTTATGAATGAATGTTTATGTCAAACAGGATTTCCCAAACAATTTCAAACAATATTGAATATAACTGGATTATATTCATGGCAAACATCAACACATGGCGTCCAACAGCTATTATATGATTATACAAACTTACGAGTTCGGTTTGATATTCAAGGATGGCGATCGCAACAAAATGAAACCTATCTAATTAAATATAAACCTGAAGGTGCCGAAGCAGGTTCAGTAAGTAGAAAGTAAACCTTTTGACGACGAATATTAATCATGAAATGTCTTTAGCCAGCTTCTCAAGGCTACTCAATGTTTAATTTCAACCCTGATTATCCAGAATTGACAAAAGTAACATATATTTTATTTGTTTTTTTCTTCTTTTATATGTGAGAGTTTTTCTAAGAATGATTGTTGGTATAGAACAGATCCTATGGGGGATATTGGCCCATTTCCTATCTCATGGTTTTATGGTCAAGAGAAGCCTTTTGAAATTCAACCGTGGTTTCCATTACCATCAAATCTCATCAATAAAGGAGAAGAATGGATACCAGAAATTCAAAAGAATGCAATAGTATGTATTTCTATTTTGATTAGTATTAAGTAAGCCTATAAGAGAAGCGTTCTATTTGGAGTTCATTAAAATCTATCTATATTTCAACTTCATCTTTCATCCTGCGTCCTAGTCATATGGTTAGTTCATCTAGATGAAAGCCGAAATCTTTCTGATAGATGTGCTATTTTGATAAAAGATTCAAACGAACACAAAATTCATTTTTAAATTTCACTCTCTGTTCTAAGTGGTCGTGAAATGAATGGCTACTCAATAATCAAGATATAGTTTGGAATCTTTTATAGAATATGAACAAATGAAAAGGACAGATATTAATATCTTTAAAGTTAGATAAAGCCAGAATAAAGGATAACAGAAAAGATGGCTCATTATGTCAAATAAAAGTAGACTATCCAGCGGTCGTAAGAGAAAACACAAAAGAAATGGACAAAATTAAAATGTTTCTGAAAATTCACGATCGTGTTCGATATATTCTATATTGATAGTCGTAAATGAGCCAAATAAATCGACTTGTGAGACGTAAAAGTCAGAACGATTGATATTTAATCATGATTATTTGAGTTTAATATATTCATCCAAGAATTTACGAATGCTCTCAGTCTATTGTCTATTTTGCTCCGTATATATATATAATGATACATCCTCCAGTAAGTAAGTGTTTAACATAATCAAATCATTTATTGATTAATTTATTTAATTGATCTTGTAGTAGATTTTATATTCTTTCTTCTCTTTTTACTTCTGAATACAAAAGGAAACTCGCTCAAATAGTTTGATAATTAATGAACACTTACTATAATGAATATTAGTTATTTTTACAGCAATCTACAGCAATACAAAACTAATATTCACTAATTCTACTACTTTAAGCTAGATAATAACATTTCAATCAGCATACACGGACATATTAATGAGTTGAGATTTGTCTACAGTTAACCCTGTGTGAATAGAGGGAAATATAGAATAGTTTCTATGATTTTAGAGATACGATTCACCAGAGCTTTGTGATTTAGTAAACTCTGGTTATGGAATAGTACCATGTTTAAGCTACTTCGAAGGACAAGATACGCCCGTAAAAACAATTCGTGCTCGTGCTGCTAGTGGTTTTTATGATAGTGATGAGTAAACGCATATATTTTATTTATATAATAACACAATAAATAACTCTCTCTCTCTCTCTCTATATATACATATATAGGTACGTAAGTACTGTCTATCTATCATTTACAAAAGGTATTCCATCAGAAGCAGAATATTTGTTCAATTTACCTAATCATTGGCCTTCATATTGTGGAAATGCAAACACCGGTAAGCAAAACTTCTAAGCTATTTACTTCACATCAAGTATATGATTATGTTTCTGAATGTTTTTTAGGTTTTACTGTAGAACCTATGCATGGATTTGTCGTAACTCCTAATGGTCAAGATCATTTTGCATTAAAATTGCAAACACCGCCAGTTCGTTCACTTGGTGACCAAATCAAAGTTGAATTTAGAGTACAACCATCGTGGTATTATAATGGCACACGTTGTGCTGAATTCAATAGTATTGTTTTCAACCAAGACAATTGGCATGAACCACAACAAGTTGATATGTCATTCGGTGATTACGGTTGTTGTACATACGCAATTACAGCAACTGGTGGGGGATACGAGTGGCAATATGCAGTATCAACATTTGTTGTTTATGCATGTGATGGGCAAGCTGGATATGGTTGCAGTGGTAAACAGCCGTGTGGTGCTTGAAGAAGTTTTCAAATAAAAATAATTGTTAGAACGCACTTACGTATGTAACATGCACGTTTCCTATTATGGTTTAAATGAAATACAAATTTTTCGTGTTGCAATGCTTTCTTTAGAATCAGAAATAAAATACAGTTTTGAGAAGCCAATCGATTTGTAATATACGTATCTATTATATCAAGTGTTCTGTAAGATTAAATTATAATTACTCAATACTAGCTTTTTGAATGCTCCGATTCAAAAAAAGACATGTATCGACTAACGAAAATATTCGCATTGAAAAGTTTCACGTACCTAGCGAGAATTTCATGTAGAGCACTAGTTAAAGAATCTTGAAATTCAGTGACATTTCTTCTTGAATAGCTTTATTTTAAAAAATCACTAGAACACGTGTTTTGAATGTACGTGGTTTATAAGTAACTATTTGTTGTTATTTTGATTGTCTTACGCTTAAATCACCTTTAATATAGAACAATTCAAGATGACTGAATGATAAAAAAATAAAGCTTCGAAAAAATCAAATTTCAACTATGTACTTGTTCTTAAGTCAATAAAGAAAAATAATTTTGACAAGTTCAACTATCACTCGACTGAACAGTTATGTTTTTAAACTATTTGTCCTTCAAACTAAAAAAATTGCCCTATAAAACACATACAGAAAAATGCATGACCTTGATGTAATGATTGATATATATATATATATTTCTCCATCGGTCTATTTACTGATATTTGTTGATCTTACTGAGAATCCCTGAGTATTACACAAAAGATCTTTAAATTCGATCATGATAAAAATTAGCGATTGTTCCGATAGCATTAGCCGAAATTACCAACAAATATATAATTAATTATAAACTAGTACGTCAGTATTATACATATGATTTTGATATTTCCATTACACACTTATCCCTAGCTATTCAATGATTTCTGTAATACTTGCTCTGTTTAGAGGTTCGTTTGAAATATCTAATAAATTCAAAATAATATATAGAAACCTAAAATACTATGTTTGAAAAGTGCGCATGTTTTTTGTTTGACAATCATTCATACATAAGGGAGTTCCTACGAATTCCGAATCATTTTTTAAGGAATTTTCTATACGAGTTTCCATTATTTTATTAGAAATTGCTTTAGATTTGATATCGTACCTCTTCTTAGAGTGATAAAGCAATTGAAAGAGTGACTTGTCGACTAATCACATTCTGTACCATGACGTTGGGTTTTTCTTCATATTCAATGATAAGATTAGCAAACACTATTTTCGAATTTGAAGAAAGGAAAATGCATATCAATCAAAATATATAATTATTTATTCGTTAAACAATATAAGGCTCGTTGTAGAGAACAGAAAAATGAATCACTGGAATGTGACTAACTGACAAAAGAATAATAAAACTGACTAGAAATTATACTGAAGTATAAAAATGAGTTAGATTAAATAATTCATCGATCACTATTATGATGTTCTTTTGATCGGTTAAAAAGAAGACATCGATTTGATAGAACACAATCAATTTTAGCAAATTCATTATTCAATAATTCACTATGGGACAGTGTTGAGCCAAGTCGATTTATTAAAGTCTAATAGAATAACCATATTATTATTTATGAATGAAATAGATAAAAAATAATTACTCGAATACTTTCTTCGTATCGATGGTCAGCAGGTAGATGAAGAATACTTCCATTAATCCATAAACAATTAGCCGTGGCATCATCACGCAATGTTATTATTTTATAGAATTTATATTCACTCATTTCTTCCATTTGCTTAAGATCAATAATAATAAAATCGATTCTTTTTAATAAAACAAAGACTCTTACTCGAAGTAGGTCTTTAGCTATATCGGATCCACCAATAGCCATCGTATCCACTCCGACCATTGAAACAAAATTTTTCAAATGTGCACCTTTCTTTACCTAAATAGTTATTTTTTAAATAAAAATCTAACTAATATTGAACAACTAATTATAATAATACTCTAATCAAAGTCACTGGATATTCAGGAAAGGCAGATGCAACTGCTTTAGCTCCAGCTAAATTTGTGGTTTTGGATAAACCAACAAAAAACTCGCGACCTATAAATAATTAATAAAAATTTCTACTCAATTTGAATCAAAGTCATACCGGTGAAAAGAACATCGCCACCATCAATAGTCGCTAACGGATCTTTGATATCAATGATACTAAGACCTTCTCGTTTTAGTATTGTTCGAATAATATCGACCTAAAATTTTACGTTTTTTCTTTAGAAATCGAATCTAGAGTATTACTTCTTTGATTCGTCCAGGTAAGCCAGGTCGACATATCAGTGCAATACCATCACAAGTGACTGCTGTATCTTCGACGAAGACACCTTCAGGTAATGATTCATCAGCAGGTAATTCAATTACATCCAAACCAAGTTTTCTAAATGAATAAATTCAAACAATTATGCTTTTTATTTTTATCAATACAAAATTTGCTTCGTCATATTTTGTTTTCATCCTTACTCATTAATCAATATCAAACACGATGCCAATAGATAACAAATAGAGAAATTTGTTCTATAGAACGCATATGCACGATAGAAACAAAAGCAACTTTAGAAGGAAAAATGGATTAACAACAAGAAAAATTGTTTTTTGTTTTTTGAATATAGATCATCTGCTATTAACATTTTTTTCAAAATATTCTTCAGCGTACATTAGATAACTGATGCATGTTTAACTACGATGCGCTAATTCGAATTTTTCATCATTAATTTTAATAAATAAAAAGCTATTATAATCGAATCTGAACATGACCATAAATTATTAGAATGGATAGAGCTTCAACTGTTCAACATCAGCTTGAAAATTTTTCCTCTTATATAAATTCATTTTCTTTCTTCTTTTTCGGCTTTTTCTGCATTCATAAAATGGATATTGTCTATCGTAGAAAATTACTAATTAGTTTACCTTAATACTGCAATATAATCTTGATGTTGTCTTCGTGCTTTTTCAATATTGATAACTTCTCTTATTTCACGCTGACATATCGCAGCATCTTTTAAACTTGCTGGAACACGACTAACAATCGCGGATGTAAAATGAAAATCAAATGGATAAGTTAACATAATTATCTAAAAAAACACAAAACGATTGAAATAAAATAAAATATACGAACGCATAGATAAATGTGTATACTGATATTGCACACGGACAAAAAAAGAAGAGAAACAACAATAATTAAAGATTTACAAGATTAAATTTAAAAAAATAGAAAGATTTACGCATGTGACATACAGTGCAACTCTATGATTAATTATTCTTTGTTCGATTTGTCGAACTAGCTGCTTCTTTTATTGTGTTCATAGTTTTTGATAGCCATCTTACAGTTGAGTTGTTATTATTATTGCTATTGATAGAACGTACACTATTGACTGAATTAGTGTCTGAATCACTTGCAGCTGATGTTGAATGTCGAAGTTGATGTGCAAGTTCTTGATTTTTACATAAAGCCTCAGTAAGAGCTAACTTTTTTTCTGCTAATTCTATTTCAACTTGATGCAAACGATCAGTAATAGATGATGACATTGATGAAAGTGTTGGTAAAATATCGTCATTATAATCATCATTCATTCCTTCTCGTTCCGGTGTTGATGCTATACTTGTTAATGGAGACATTTTTGCGCGCATTGAAGTTTTACATGAATCACAACAAAGATTCTAAATAGTAGAAAAATAACCATATTCACTGAATTGAAAATTACATAAGAAAAAGAAGAATTTGTGAGCAACACCTTTTCAGTCAAGTATATAATTAATGCTTTTTGAACTATTAAAAGACTTTCCGACAGCGAATGATCGCAAATTAGTTAAAAAATCCTAGACTAGAGAGGTGCAAGACTAATCTCTTTTTTTTTATTTAAAATAAGTTCATGTCTAATTATTCATATCGTTATAATGTTCGCTTTTTGAATATTGATTGTGTTCTAGACAAAACTATTCTATAGTTACTTGAAATTACCTCTGGAGAATTCTTCCGAACTTATCGTTTGTCTAATCCAATCGATTATCAATACCTGTTAGTTAATCTTTCTCGAATGATGTTCTAATTGAGATAATTTATAAGATAATTCGCTTTAGAAAAATAGAATATCTAAACATGGTGGTGTATACTTTTTATTCAAAAGAATGCTGGTTGGTGTATAATTTAGAAAGACACGAATCGAAAACAGCATGTATTATTCATGCATTTTGTTTTAAATGTGAATACATATGAATTACTAGTTGTATTCTTTGTAAAGATTTTCAAAAAAAAGTCAATCATATCTACTTGAATCGCTTCAATTTTATTATTATATTTTTCTTTTTGTTTATCTAATTGATCATTCAATTGTGAACAAATCTTTAACGAGAAAATAAAAAATCACATTGAAACATTGGATAATATTATTATTTAAGATTTTACTTGTTTATATTCTGTAACGATCTTCTGTGTTTGTTGAAGTTCATCACAGGTACGTCGAAAAGCATCACGAATCTAAATAAATTTAGTAAGTAATTTTTTCAATGGTTTTCAATTTTATTCTGTTTTTTTTTTACATTTTCCAATTCTTCATTTAATCGAAATGTATGCTGTTCACTTTCTTTTACAATTGATCGAGTAGCTTGTAATTCTCTTGTTAATTTCTCAATTCGCTCGTCAGCCTAAATATTTATTTCAATAAAAATTTTATTTATTAAAATAAAACTACAAAAAAAGAGAAGAAGAAAATCAAACCTGGTCAAGGTTACTCTTAAGTCTAACACGATCATTAACTAATTCAAGTGCAAGCATTTCATTTTCCAATTCAGATCGCATACATGTTTCAGTTAATCGTTTATTATCGGCTTCAAGACGTTGTAGTGGTAATTCTCCTTGTTCTTCTTCGGCTCGCCGCATAAAATAATCTTTTTCATATCTTTTTAATTTTTTTACATTAATCTATTCATAAAAAAAAATTGAAATCAATTCTAGGAATATATTCACTTTCATTTTTTCAAAAATACCTTCATTGAGCAAGCTGTTTGAATAAGTTCATCAGCGTGATCTTCGCATCGATATTTTTTCGGTAAATTCACGCGAAAAAATCTCATAATACCTTCAAAATCAAGTGATAATAGATCTTTTTGACTGAACTATATTAATCAAAAAAACAAAATTTTCTGTAAATTTTTTAATTCAACAGTTACGACCTAAATACCTTGAGTAAAGCTAAAGCAACGCCAAAAAGCGCATTGAAACCCTATTTAAATCAAATATTTAGTATAGATTTTATAATATCGAAGCTTATATCTCGGCAAAAACATGTTTTTTTTACTTTAAATGATAAAGAGTTAATAAAATATAAATCTTGACTTCTCTTCTACGATTGAGACTTTTGAAACAAAAGCAGAGAGTAAGTAAACTAATCATAGTTTCTTAAAGGATAAAATCTTCATTTTTTCTTTCGAGAAATAAGCTTCTATATAGATCTTGTTTAAATATTATCAAAATGAAACTAACATCGTAAAGAAAAATATCCATAACACGAAATACTAAATAGAGTGGAAACTTCGCCGTAAACAATGTTAAAAACCATTGTGATGCATACATATGACATTCAACTTTAAGATCATCAAAATGTCCATAAAGATCTGGTAGATTATCTTGTATAAGACAAGTTAATTGATGAAATCGAACTTGAAGATTTTCAAAGTTTGCTTTATACATTTCACGTAATAGATATTTTGGATCTTCCATTAATTTACACAATAACATAAATGCTTGTTCTTCAGGCATCTAAATAAATTTTTTTTCTTCTAACTATTAAAATACAAAGAATTATATTTTTACATGAATAAGAAGACTTGCAATAACAAATGATAAACCTTGGCAATATCCAACTTCTTCATCACGAACAGAATAAGCCTTTGAAATAAAAATAGTGAACTGAAAATAAAACCTATTTAATAATTTCATTTACTCGACTTAATTTATATAAAGCTTCTTGACCAATTCCGCCTTCTTCTTTAAAGTATTCATGAGCTGGGAATGTTCTATTTAAATCATTTACAATAACACGTTCACTCGCTGATTCCTTTAATTTAAAATTATTAAAAAAAATATAAAAGAATTTGCTCAGATATAAACAAACTTTTGTTAACAATAAACGATAAGTATTAATCATTTCATTTTCTTCACCGACACTTCCTGCTAATAATTGCCATACTTCACCGCGTAATGCTTCCGGAATTCCGCGTCGTACAAGTGCTTGCAAACCTCGTGGTCGTTCAGCATAATTTTTTCTCCATTTACTCAATATATCACTCCAATTACCGAGAACTTCTTCATCACATTCTTTGCTTACATGACCAAAACCACTAACCATAGGTTCATCATCATCTTCTTCAGCCGCTGTAGTAGCAACTAAACGTTGTTTTTTTGTTAGAATTTAATAAATTACCAATCAATATTTACCTGCAGCTGATTGGCGTAATTTTGCTCGCCGTTCTGCTTCAGAATTACTTTCCAAAAGTACTACTTCATATGTATCATCTTGACGTGACGATGAAGAACTTTTAGATGTTGCCTGAATCAGAAAAGTGTAATTTAATTTGATTTATCAAAATAGACCTTTTTACTTCTTTAAGAATCATATCAAATTCTTCAGTAAATGGCGATAGTTTTTTAAATGGTGACCAAATTGTGTCACTAATATCTTGAGATAATATATCGCCTTTACTATTTAATAGGCAAACACGTGCTTTAGCTTCAATCAAAAAACGAACTGGCTCAGGAATACCACTAATCACCAAATCGAGAGCAATTGTTAAAAAAACACGCGCTCCTAAAAGAAAACCAGAAAGAAAAATATTCGCTTCTAGAATAGCAGGTGGTAGTCGTTCTGATATTTGCTTAAAGCTTTAAAAGAATCGAACGTAATAATAATAGAACGAAAAAAAGCAATTTACATACAACACGAAAGATTGACTACATTTTAACAATACCTTTAGGTGTTTCCTCATTAAGATGAATCAATTCGTTAAATCCACGTGCTGATGGATCCCAATTTCCATGAACCATATAATATCGATTATCTTCTGATTTCCCCATTGATTCCTAATATAAAATGTTCTTGAAAAATTAAGAGAACAGAAATGGATCACAAACTAAATCAAGTAGCTGCATATCACATGCACGAACATTTCGTCCTTGAGCGAGAAGCATACCAAAGCATCTTTTAATAGAATGAGATCGTTCCAATACTATTTTTGTTTTAAAGACAGAAAATTTACCTTTCAATATTAAGTGGAAAGCCACGAATGTGTTGAAGAGCAACAGTAACATTTTTTCGAACATCTTTTCGTAAACGAAATACATTCTTCTCTGGTCTACATAACAAAGATAAAAATAATTAGATCTTATTTTTATTGATTCTATATTCAGTGATAACCTTGGCACAGAAGTAAAACTAATATTTCCTTTACTATCAACAGTTTCTTCTTTAATATCAAAATAACTTCGAAATTTAATTGGTCCATCAGTTGGTTTTTGTAGTATTTGTTGCTGATTATTTGATGAAGATGAAGATTGACTTGTATTAGATGATTGTGGTTGTAATTGGGCAACAGTTGCTTGTATAGCTTGACCAATCAATGATGTTGTACGACGAGAAATTAATGCAAATTGTTGATTTACTTTTACAGATGTTTGACTAGTTGTTGATGGCGTTGTACGTTGAAATGCATTTGCAAAACTGGTCAAGATTTTATAAATCTAATTGAAATCAAAAAGAATTACGTTTTAAAATCATCACCAAGTAGATTACAATTTTTTTTCTCCCTTAGATTTACAAATTCTAAGTTTAATATCTAAACAATGTACTCTAAGAAGATGAAAATAGAAGTTAGTTCTCACCGCTTCTTGATTGTCACAGCGAAAAACTTGACATTGATAAAGCAGTTCATGTTGTGTTTGACCAGTTTCACTATTATTTCCATTTGATTGAGATTGAACATTAGTTAATGTCGTAATACGTGAAGTTGTAAATGCCCAACAATGTGCTAAAGGTGTATTTGTAGGACCGCGTGCACAAAAAAGTATTTGAGAGATACGATAACAAGTTATTTCGAGTTCAGTTTGTGGGTCAAGTAGTCTATAAAAAGAAATGTAAACAAATAATTTACGCGCTTAACAATTATTTTTATTTCATGAGTAATACAATATTGCGTATTAATGAATTTACTAATTTTGCAGAATTAGAAATTACTGATAAAATCGAGCAACGTTTTATTTCTATTTTAAATGATTCGATTCAACAATTGAAGATCTTCGCGAATGTATCTATTGACGAAGTTGATGAAGTATTATCAAATAAATTTTCTTTTCTGGCGAATCAGTCATTTTTACAACGTATTAATAAACTTTCTTTTCATTTTTGGCGTCTAATAGAAATTATTATAGAATTTTCTTATTACATTCAACCAAAATCACAAAGTGATGTACATAAATTAAATAGGATAGAAATATCACTGCTAGCTCACATTGACTTGTTCAATCAATATCTTAAGCAACGCTCTAATTTATTATCTCAATCTTCGTCAAATCTTATTATTGAATTTGATAAAGAAAAGTGTCAAGTATTACGACGCATAGCAATTGAAATATCTAATCAATTAAGCGTAACATCTTTACCGAACTACGCCATTGGAATTATCGGGAACACACAATGTGACTTCAATTGACATTTTACTTTGTTCATTTAATATTGCCATATTTCTAACAATAAAAATAAAAATCTATTATCGTTAATTTGCTGTTTTTTCATTATGTCAATATCACCTATTGAGTTCGTCTTCTGATCGTGGTGCATTAACACTTGCCGATCCCAAGTAAGTCACACGATGAAAAAGTATACTATTCGTTAAATCTGGTCGATGCATTTTGGTGAGACCTTTTCGACAAGAATAAACCTTTCGATAAAAAATTATTCAGAAAAACAAAATATATAACTTTACCAATATCATTTTTGATTGGTGTTTTAGCCAAATTTTCACCATTATTAGAAATTGGAATTGACTCTGGAATAAAATTAGTATCATTTGATGTTGTTTGCACAGGTGACTAAATGATACACATGAAAAAAACATCGAACAGAATATTAATTCATACTTCATTAAGTATTTCAGCCATATTATTTTCTAAATCAGCACTTCCACCACCTGAATTAAAACTTAAATTATACTACAGTTTAAGAAACAGAAACTAAAAAATCAATTGAATCATAGTATAAACGAATTACATGTGTGTTAGATAAGGACTAATTTTTCTTTAATCATAAGTGTGTTATTATTTTAATTGATCGAAACAGAAAAAAACAGCTACTTTGACTTACTTTTCTTTGACAAATAGAAAAATATAGAGGCTATTCTTTCTAACTATGCTGGAATTAAAGATTAGATATAGAAATATAAGATGAATATCATAATACGAAGTTTGGAGAAAACTTTAAATAATGAACTTACCAGCGGCTATTTTTAAATGTGGAGGTTCTTTGCCAATTAGAATAAAATCGATTGAGTTTAAACTACTCAAGCTTGTGGAATTGTCCATAACCTCATATGAAAATCAGTATCTATAAATAAATAGAAAAACACATCAACGCTAAGATTGACAAGCGGAACCAGCTCTTGTCTTTATTTTTTTGTCCTTGAATGTGAGAAATTTACTCTGGTAGTGACAAGCAATTTATTTAGAAAATATTTATTATTTAGAAAAAAAATAGTATACCATATTTCTTAATAGTAATTAGAAGATTGTATTGTTGTTAAATCATGACGAATACATATACGAACAGATTTTTTTACTTTTATTTGATATGAAGAGATACTATTGTTTCTCGAAAAAGACATTTCTAGTAGTGCTGCTATTAAAGACTGGTCAATAAATTTTAATGTGGCATTTACAATCGATCAGTTTGCCTTTTTCGTTTTAAAGATATTTATCATGTAAAGAATCATAATAGAACGTTTCTAAAAATAAAAATAAATTTTCTCAAAGGAAAAGTTGTATCTTAGCAAGAAAAGATATGTGATGCTTGTCAATTCTCGTCATTTTTTTTGCTTTCTTCTCTCCAGAGCAAAACAGAACAGAAAAGCAGTGCTAACATTGGCTGGATGATTGTCTTGTCTATTCCATAAATTAACTAGCAAAATCTGAATTTATGGCATGACTGATCTTCCTGTATACTATTGATTAGTTCAGTAATTTAGACTAATTGAAAAGAAATTCGATTTAAATTATTTTTTATCGTTTACTTATTTTCTAACGAATAATTATATCATCATTTAGTAAGATTAAAGTTAAGAATTTATTTATAGAGGTCTCTAGTTGATGATTATCAAGATAAAGCATGTCGTCAAACTCTTCTGATAAGAGATAACAAAAACAACAAAACTACTTTCAAAGCATAAGTTGATTCACATATATTATTTCATATGATTTTATATTATTCTAACTAGTCTTCACCAGTTGAAAGAAGATGATCGTATGATATAGAGCATTACTCAAAATATAGAAAAGAATAAATACATTGAAACAGAAAAGAGATGAGTCTTTTTTTTAGAAATTTAGAATAAATACATAGAAGTAACCAGTCAAAAGTTGAAGGCTATTTATTTTTTCAATTTATTTTTCGGCCATAATAGCATAGCACTCATTACGTTACGTAAGAATGGGTATGCTTGAAAAGATTTTGAAAAATGAATTACAAACGTTCACCTAAAAATTCTATTATTTCATATGAAACAGGCAATAACTAGTTCACATTTTTTATTTCTTTTCTTAACAGTAAGACCTTTTATTTGACTTTGATATGCTCGGTGTTTTTTTTTCTACTAGTAGAAAATCTTGTTGTATATATTCGATACCCACAATTTCTAATGAAGGAAATAATCAAATTTTAACTATTTGAGAATGACACTTAGTTGTTGTCAATTAAATAAAAATAATGATTACTACTCAATTTCAATATAGTTAAGTATTGAACAGTGTTCATTCAGCATGATTTTCTCCTCAATTTTGGCTTTATCGATAGAACAAAAGATCCCACACAAGGTGCGTAAATAGAAAGTCGATAAATGTGCTTCGCAGATTCCAATGTGTATTTACATTTTAATCAATGATAAGGAAATGTAAGGTATCATAATATTAATAATATATAGAAACTATCGACATTACGTAATAATTACAACAACAATATAAATAACACAGAAGAATATATCGAACGTTTTAGTTTTGTTTATTTTGATGTAATTTCAAATGAATACTTTTATGGATACATGAAGAAATGCTTTTGTCACATGATTAAGCTCCCTTGAAAGACGATCTATTAAAATATATTTTTATAAAATATATCTAGATCAAGATAATATTATCTTGCTGATAGTTTTAGTTTGATGTGAGGTCGCTGTTTTGAAACATTGAAACATTGATTTTCGTTTCAGTAAACAAAGATTCGATGTTTACATTGCAAATTGAAACTGTCTATAGATTAAATTAATCACAATCTATAGTTCCCGTATTCTAACAAATAAAATTTCTTTTTTTATTGATCTTCAAAACAATGATTGGTAGCATAAATTTTAGAGCTCGAAATATTCATTTGATTTTACGAGAACGAAGTGTCTCTATTTCAAATTATATACGCATTGAATTTATTTGGCATGCTAGAATATTCCAGATATATCTATCCTCAAGTGAGCATATTAAGATATCTGAGATACGAAAATTGTTTATGAAAATTGAGAAATAAAATATTCAACGTGTATTTATCTGCAGAGGAATACGTAGACTAACTTGTACAAAGTTATCGTTTAACCTTGTACGTTAGCGGTGAGATCTCTAGAACAATACATTAGATCTTATTTGAAGTTTTCTTGTATCTTCGCAGCCAACTCTGACCATTACGAGTGCTATTCTCAGGCGATTCAAGAGGCAGCTTACTAATTATTTTGAAATGATCTTGCTAAATTAACATGAATTTATATTCGAATTTTTTTACCAAATCTTTGCACTTGCCTTTATATCCTTTGTTGTTTCATGATACGAAAAATAATTTTAAGGGGATATACTAATCGAGAAGAACCAAGCTATTATTGTCGGATGATTTCTAATTGTTGATATTTATGAAAAATATAGTAGTCATTGATATCGATTCGCTTCGCTTCTTTATAAATAAATACGGTACATGAAAAAAAAAACAGTAGCAATTTACAAACTCACCATCACTTTTGAATTTATATGTTTTGGCTTGTCGTACCTAAGAAAAATACTAATCATGAAATTTGTTTTTTTCAATTTAACGCATAGTCTTTACTAAGATCACATAACACTTCTATATATTAAGTATGTACTATGTTTTGACTTCGTTGCATCTCAAAGAAATCATGATTCTATTGACTTTTCATTATTGTTTTGCTCATTCTATGGCAAAAATTTCAGTTGCATAACAAACTTCAAAATCTTCAATAGATATGAAACTATCAATTGTTAGAAAATGTATGAATATTTCTATAAATACACCGATGTATTTAGTACGTAGACGGTGCTGTTAAAACTAGCATATTGTAATAGCTTATCAAGATGGAGATAGTACAGTTTTGTCTATTGTATGCTATTTAAAGATATAGAAGTTTTCTCAGAATTCTATTGTTTTTATTGAATATCTTAACTTTACGGAGTAAGTCGAAAAAAGTAGAATTAAAAAAATGCCTTATGCGATTCAATGTTGTTCTAGAGAGAGAGAGAGAGAGAGAGAGAAACAATTTTATAGCCATTTATTCGAAGACTTCGGACTGAATTCGATTCGTATAGAAAGTGAACCGTATGAAATAGATTAAATAAATCATTCGTGAACAGCAGTGAATTTAATCATTGTAAGGAAAATAAGCTAACTTTAGTGAAAACTTCAATATAGTAGTGATTCCTTTGATTGTAGCTGAAAAATCTTAAGTTTTCCATTTGAAACTATCCTTTCTACAAGGCTATTGGGACCTTTATGATTTACAATTTTTGATTGGAAAATTTCAATTACTAAAGTATTAAATAATATGACATAACGATAGATTTTTATTCTTTTACGATTATCGCTTTTCAACAAGATATAAAAGAAAAGAAACAAAGAAAGATTTTACACGATATTCTTTTATTCGTCTTTTCAAATGCAAATTTTGAAATGTTTCGTATAAAATGTAAGATCATCTATTCGTTCATAAAGTTTTATGGTCTTTACATAAGATAAACCTGTACTGTTAGTTAATCATTTAGAATTGAACTGCGCTATATTCGTAAGGTTTTTCAGATGCATGTTTAATATTTATAAATATTTAATGATTTTAGCATCTTATATTATGAGATACAAACAAAACTACTCATTTTTCCTACTGATTAGTATTGTTTTTATGTTTATGATGACCAAATCAGGCTACCGTACAGTTTTCTTTCGATATAGAATAAAATACACAGTTTTATAATTACCACGTAATTACAACTGATTAGATTAGTTCATAGAAACGATTCTACTACTCGAGAAAATGATGAGGAAAATCGTTAAAAACAAAATGAGAAACACTTTATTTTGACCAATGCGCAGAAAATCATTAGAAATAAATAATTTCATCTATATAATCAGCCCTAATTAATGATATTAGATACACATTGTGCACTATGATCGTCTTTGAATGTAGAGAATACATATAGAAAGCATAATCAGTATTTTTCTCTTTAAATTGGCACATATCAGTTCATATCACAATAAATTTATTACTGTTTTTTTAATAAAATCTAAGTTTTTATAGTAGATTTTGTAAAATGTTCATTCATTTTTCCTAGTTCTATCGTAACGTAGTTTAATCTCATTCAATATTTAAAACATTACAAGCATTATTTCGCAGCTCAATTCTTAGTTATTCCCAGCTGCATCCTGAAATCAATCCCACCAGTATTCCCTTGTATGCTTTCAGAAAGTTCTAGTATGTGAACACGTGTATCACCATGTCCTAACAAGTCGCACCAAGTGCCAGTATATATGTCGTGCCGAAGTTACACTCTTTGCCGAAGTTATAACTTCGACGATTATCTTTGCCGAAGTGATAACTTCGGCAATGCAACTTGCCGAAGTTAAACTTCGACAAGTAAATTTTGTCGAAGTTACTGTGAATGATTCGATAAACATAAAACGTTAAAAAATCAACGTAATTTTTTCGATATCAATATTAATAACTATTTTTCAATTTAATAGAGATAGAAAGAGAGCGCACTGTTGGATAAGGACGTAAATCTGCCACCCCGTGGCTTTGAAATTCTGCACAATTTTGTATATCTCTTTTGCTTTTGGTTGAGTAAAACAAAAAATTATTTTAAGGCAGACTTCTCAAGGGATATATATCATTTTTGTGAATTAAGAGCGATCAGTATACTATCGATATTTTTTTCAGTTGAATATTCAATATGAAAACTAGTAGAATAGATCAACGTAGGGAAGCACCATTACCAGTATTTTACTAATACTGGTGAATCCGTAAATGAAAATGATAAGAAGGAATGAAGAACGTTCACTTTATGTTATCAGCTAGTTAAAAAAACAAGATTATATGTTGTTACACGACCCTTTAAAACTGCAATTTTTTATTCAAATATACACAAAAAAATCTGTTAGCACAACCCCTGTGGGATTAAAATGTGAAACACGATAAAGCTCGTTTTCTGGAATCCGTCTACCACAGTCTGTGATGGTCTGTGGATCTTCTCCATCACTTTCTGTATCTTTGTTATGGTGTTTGAAGTCTCTAGAGACCATCGCAAACCGTCCCTAATCGACTCTCCCCCAACGATTCCCCGGGGAGTCCCCGTAAAATAACGAAATCCCTGGGGAGTCCCTGTCGTGAGTCCCCGGGGATTTCTCTGGGGAGAATTGATGAAATTTTTTAAAATAAAAAAAAAACTTCTTAATTTTTTTAATTTTTAAAAAATTAAGAAGAATTTATTAGTAATTAGATATTTCATCGATTTTGACCAGATAACTCCCCGGGGAGTCCCCAGGGAGTCTCCGCAAAAGAATGAAATCCCTAGGGACTCCCTGTCGTGAGTCCCCGAGGATTTGTCAGGGGACTCCCTGGGGATTCTTCTAGGGAGAGTTGACTAGGGGTTGCACAGACTTCAAAAACCATCACAGAGCGTGACAGAGAATTCAGAAACCATCACAGACCGGTACAGAGAAATNAATTAAAAAACCATCACAGACAGTGGCAGAGGGACTTCAGAAACTATCACAGACCGGGACAGAGAAATTAATTAATTAATCAGCTAACTAATTAATTAATTTCTCTGTCCCTGTCTGTGGGGGGCGGGGGGCGAGGGTGGGTCCAAATTTCTACCCTATATACTTCAACACTCCTTTCAGATCGTGTTTCATAAAAGTTGCATTCAAGGAAAACTTACACTGTGCGTATGGCAACCGAAAATTTCAATGTCGAAACATTAGCATCGGTAGCATCGGTAGCATTAATAATGATGAAAGTGGTGTATTTATTAAAGCTGAATATGTAATTGAAAAACTAGTTCATTATCAAGAGAAGCCCAATCTATTTTACTTTTTTCGATTTACAACTCTACTTGAAAGCTCTTAAATAAATGATTATTTTACATCGTTGATGCATATTTAAACTTAATAAACTGTATTAAAAAAATGAAATATAATGCTGACAATCTGCTTGAGCATAATTATTTTAAAGAACTTAGCTACCATTTTCGCTAGATTTTTACCCATAAATGAATCTTCATTATACTTAAATATTTTCAATTGCTCTTAACATTGTTTGTAATTTGAATATAGGTAAAAGTTTCTGCAACACAGGTGTGGTGTGGATGTGGGTGGGATTTGAGCCTTACCTTTACCCGCACCCACATCCACACCCACACACACCCATCCGTAAAGCAAGTGGACAACAAAGAAAAAGCTGTTCTGTTGTGGCGAAGGAGATTGCAGAAAAGCAAAAAGAATATGTCACTCGAAGAGCAATTAATAATTACCGTCGTAGAGAAGAATTATAACCTTTTCATGTTATTCCAAAACCGTTAAAATCTGAAACTCATATATCAGATCGATTATGGCTGTGTGACTGGTTAAAAGATTGGACTGTAGAAGATTTTCTTCATCTGGCACCATCTGGTGAGTTTTATGTATGGACAGCCCGTAGGCCAAATTATCAGAATGATCGAATTTGGGCGAGAAGTATTGAAGACATTGAAAAAGATCAAAGATATCGTGAAATGGCCAAAAATCAATCGTGTATCGGAATTTTTATAGTGTTTACTTGCAAAAGATTACTTTGGGTTATTAAAGATAAAGGTGAATCTTGGACTGATCAATACTTTCGTGATATAATTTTGACTCAAAATGTATTTCTCTTCTTAAAAAATGAAGATAATGTTATTGAGCCTGATGAAGTTATATTTGTTCATGATAAACCATGTATGTGAGCATATAAAACTCAGCATTTGCTTCAAGACAATTATGTTAAATTTTGGGGTAATGATAACTGGCCAGGAAATTCACCTGATCTTAATGTAGCAGAACGTATCGGATCAATTTTCAAAGATGAAGTTGAAAAACAAATGTTATCGGAAACTTGGTATAATCGATATCATGTAGACACACTTAAAATGCATATTGAAAATGTCTTAACCAGCATGAAAGAAGATACTGAATTATTTGAAACTCTTCTATGTTCGTATCCATCTCGACTTCGTGCAGTAAAGACTGCTAACGGTCGCCACACAGATTATTGATTGTATTCATTAAAGAATGAAAAAATAAACTATTTTGTAACACATTTAGTTCGAACATTACCAGATAAACTAGTTTTCTCGTGTCTTATACAGGTAAAAAGTTGTAACTTTTGAGAGTTTGGTATAAGAAAGTTCTTCAAAGTCATATTATTTAGCATCACTAAATCCCATTTTTCACGGGCTTTCATTTGGTATAAAATTCATCATGTTTCCTACTTGGAATTATAGAGTTACCCCCCTTGAAAAATATTGTTTCCAACCGTGTATATATAGATTAACAACATATTGTTAATCATTTGAATTACCATAATTTGATAACTATGAAAATATTAAGCCAATTTAACAAGAAATATTTTCCGCAATGATTACAACGTGATTTTGTGAGGGATGTCATAATATCCACAACTTGGGTATCGAGATGAATACCCAGATAAGATACCCAGTTGGATGGATATCTACATATCCTCCGAGCTGAGGAATTTGAGTGCATTTGGTGTAACGAGAATGGGTATCCATTTTCATATATCCTCAGAGCTGAGGAATTTTAGTGCATTTGGTGTAACGAGATTGGGTACCGGAAATTTTCCCACTGTCAGGTCCTACTTCAAACAAATTAATATAAGCCACAATTCAAATAACATGCGTGTGACGATCCATAACAACACCAACTACACAGCATGCTACAGTTTCAGCCCGATTTCCTTGAGTGATTTTGATGAAAGTCGTAATAAGTTGTTATCAGGTAAAAATGAAGTTCTTCAACGAACATTTACTTGGAATTGCATCCTNGAGATCGCGATTCGTAATAACAAGGTCGCAAGATATAATATCGCGAAAGATAGTGGTTCTCGAATACCGCAAATAATATACATATCACCGAGTTTTTTTTCAAACCGCGACTTCCAGTGGTAACTACATGGCGGTTTCGTTAGAGCATACCGCGGTAAACCTATATTGCGGTATGACATACCGCGATAAAATGCGGTTTATTTGGCACAACGCGGTTTCCAAAGATATAACCGCGGTCATTATCGAAAAACCGCGTCTAACAGCGGTATCTACTTAAATATTTTTCCGTGAGTATCTGCAAGGCTCATTAAACAAATCTGTATATATCGATAAACTTTGGCATAAAGCTGACTACATGAATACAATAAATTTTAACATAGCATCACGTTTCCTTATTTATAATTATAAAGTCACGTATTTTTACAATAGGGTATCCACTTCCGATACCCATTCTCGTTACACCAAGTGCACTCAAATTCCTCAGCTCTGAGAATATACAAAAATGGATACCCATTCTGGTTACACCAAATGCACTCAAATTCCTCAGCTATGAGGAACATGGCTGTTCATTTTAGTATCCATTTTAGATATCCACTTGAATGGATATCGTGAGTGGTATGTCGACGATACCCAGTGTTAGGATATTATGACATCTCTGGATTTTGTTAAAGTTGATATTGCTTTTGATGGTTCAGCCGATACAAATCAAACAACATATGAATTCATCATAATCTAGAAAATAAATTATTCATTTTAATTCAACTTTGTTTTTTTTTGTTCATCCGATTACCATTTGTCGGCAAGAAAATGAACGTGATAAAGTAAAATCAATAGATGAATTAATAAGATTTTCATTTTATTCGTTTAATTGATTTTAACACTTTTTTAAATCAATGTCAAAAAAGTTTCTGAATCAAAAAAAACGATGAACACAGTTTTCTTATTTACATAGGACAATATATTTTTAAATGAACAATGAGTGCAAAATAGTTTGAATACATAGGAGAATTTTCATGAGAATGCTCAAGAATAAAGTGTTCTTTTTTTTTCGCCGACCATATCTATATATGAAAGTGAAATAATTCCGATGTTGATCGTCGATGTTATTATCATTCCTGTTTCACAAAATATAAATATTTTGAACAAAAACATTTAAAGAAATACTAATAATAATTTACCATTACTTATGTAAATAACTATTTTCATAAATATCACGAACAACATTAATAAAATTGTCTTGAGTGTAATTTAATGGCGAAATGTTCATTGTATTTCGAATAAACCTTAGTACATTATAAAGTTCAGTTTTTGAAATATTTAAATTCTGCATAATATCATCACTTACACGATTGCAATCAACTAAAATTTTTATTTTTAAGAATAAAAAATAAACATCTGTTTTGATAAACACTTACTGTCTTTGACATTTGCATATTTCTGAAGAAAATAATTAATTTTTCTGTTATAAATAATATTTAATTCGGGTCTTTTTCTTTTTTCTTCTGCAGCATTCAGTTTCTTAATGCCAGTATCAGCAACTAAACTATAATTAGTAATACGTGATCTGGAACTATTTTCACTTTCACTTGTAGATGTAGATGATAAATCGGAAGCCTTTAGTTTGCTTTTACTGTCGCTGAATGATAATGTATCTAAACAACAGATATGATATATGAAAAATTACCAAATCCAAACATATCACGATCGCCGGTTTCCGGCCTATTACTTGCAGATGTACGATTTAAATTCCGATTTTGTAATTTCATTTCAACGGAAGCTTCATCTGATAGATATGCCAATTTACTTAAAGTTATACCCAGAAGAATCATTCCGATAGTAGGATCCGATAAGATCCCAGAGGGAATCCTATCCGATATCATTAAAATGTTAATAAAACCGATGAAATTCCGTTGGATTCCTGGAAACGGATTTACAGTCAGATTCCTGCCGCTGGAATCCGAGAAAAACCTATGTCTGAATTCAACGGAAACCGACGCTAGCATACGACCCTTGTATTTTGATGGCATCAGATGCTTATTCACTTCTGATTAAGAAAATTGATTTTGTCCGTCGTATCCGACAGCGATTCCTCAACCAGGAATCCGTCTGGTTTTTGTCGGAATGTTGGATCCTCAGAGATCCGATGTCGGATTAGTTCACCTGGGTAATTGTTGAATCAGATTTATCCTCAAGAAAATAAATTTTATTCGATGGAATATAAAATATTTGTCGAATGGTACGATCAGTAACATCGATTGATTCATTGATAGGAAATTTATATCGAAATGCATTATCATCGAGGGAGAAAATAATAAACTTTAAAATTCTGTTCGATGACATATTGATCGTTCGAATGATACCTTTCAAATTCAAATAATACAAAATGACGATCTAAAAAATTAAGAAACATATCAGCTTTATGAATAAGATGAATCGTCTGTCAAAGCAAGAGGCTTTGAACGACGTCTAGTTGTTGTGGTATGCATGGAACACAGACACTGTATGTATCTGTCAATGATGACAATTTTTATACATTTATGTATATCTTGACAGTATATACACTCTAAAAAATCAAGACGTATGTAGTGTACATGCAAGACATTTCGTGCGCTAAAACAAGACGCTTCGTCTTCTTTCTGATTGGTTCATATCTAACTCGATAAGACGCTTCTCAAGCGTCAACGGATGATCGATTTTAGAGGTCAAACGCCAGAGAAATTAAAACTGAATTAAGCAATGGAATTGGCGTTGCTACGTAGAAATACCAATCAGATTTCTTAATTCAGTTTCAATTCTTCGGGTGTGTTTGACCCCTTAGACACTCGAGCGTCTTGATCAGTTCTGATTGGACCTGTTCCACCAATGACAGAAGCGTCTTAAAAGTGTCTTTCTTAGACGTTCCAGTTGTTCGCAAAGCTACAAGTTCTAGAGATGAATGAATTAAAAATGAAAAGAATATCTTTAAATTCATTCATCTCCAGAGCTTGTAGCTCTGAGAACAACTTAAGCGTCTACCAATAATGTTTGTGCAAAGTCTAATTTTTTTAATTTTGTAATTCATTCAGTTAAACTAATTATTTAATAGTAAGTTATTGATGACCCTTGCAGAGATAGAATTTATATAATCTAAAATAGAAAGAAGTAATTATTTCGAGAAAATATAGCAATATATTAATTAATGATATTATATAAAGAATACAGTGAAACCTCTATTAATGAACACCTCTCTATAGTGAACACCTCCCATTTGAACAGATGTTTCGGAACCCCCGATCGATTTTTGCTGTAAACGTACCTCTGCGAGATGAACATCT